GATAAATTACTGCATTCCAACACATGGTCTAATCAGTTCTACAAAGCGCATTCCGAAACCCGATCTTTCTCCCATATCCATCTCACCATCCCTGACTTTTCCAGTGCCTCAAAACAAACTACAGAGCACAGAGTACATCCATCCATATCACCATAAGTTTTTTTTTTTTTTTTGCGGGGGGATATCACCATAAGTTAGAGAGGGGAATGAAAGCCAAGGACCACATCAAGAGCCTTGGCGATGAGCGCTTCGAGTTCGAGATAGTTACATGCCGCTGGTCAACCAGTTCAGCCTTTGTAGTGAAGCTGGGACTGCAGGATCTGGTTGTCCTCCAGCAGCCGGTCGTACTCGAGGAGCAGCTCCTCGGACTGCTTCTGCAGGGCGTTGACGTGGGCCTCCGCGTCAGACGCTTTCCTCTGGTGATCTTCAGACTCGGATTTCAGCTTCTTCATGTCCTCGCTCAGCTTGGCCATGTCCTGCTGAAGCTTCTTCATCTCGCTGGCTGACTTCTCCTCCTTCTCGCGCAAGGACCGGTTCTCCATTTGGAGCTTCTCAACCTCCTCCCTTGAGGTGTTGGCTGACTTCCTCAGGGTGATGAGCTTCCGAAGGTAGTGGTGCAACCGGTCGATGACAAATGCGAGGAATAGTGTGTATCCTGCAAGGTGCGATGAGCTGTTAGAAGGTTGAAAAAAGATCCGGCATTCCAACTCAGTATCAACATCGATAAAAATGAATGTATGCTGCATTCCTGTCGAACTACAGCCTATAATGTCCCATGCCAACTGCTCAAAATAAAATCTTCTAGGAAGTGATCTTTCGAGGCCTACCTTTCGACATTTAGTTCTGACCTCCCCATGTTCAAGAATGAAAATTAGCAGACCAGACTAACAGCTTAGAATTTTGGATGAAATGGCATGCATTTCACTTGAAACTAGCTCACATGATTACTTAGCTGATAGTACACGAGATTCTGTTTCTACAGGCCAACAATCCCCCTTTATAGTTGTCTGGAAAAAGTACACTGCAGATTCAACAAATCCTCCACCTGTATAGACCCAAACCATATATACCAAAGTCCAAATGGCCCTAAATTGCAACTGCGCCAGAATCAGTTTTAAACAGACCCTAAATTCCAAGTTCGGTGAATCATGAAAATCAATATTAAATTTGCTCTATCTTTTTGCATGACAAAAATCATCCCTTAATTTTATTAACTGCAACTGCCTACCTTGAAGATGATGATTTCCAAATTGCAAGCAAGATTTATAACGCAAGAACAGTATACTGATATGACTGACTACACAAGTAAACAGTACAATAATTACTAAAAAAAAGTAAGTTGTTTTCTGTACAAATAAAATGCACCTTATTTTCAAGTCCTGTTTATTGATCTAAACCTTCATAAGGAGTCATGAACGAGTAAGATAGTTGCCTATCTAAATTTGCAACGTTTACAGGCCCTAGAGTTAAGACTAAAAGGGGCCTTTGACATACCCCTTAGTCGATGCATCAGAAGCCTGAACATTTTTACAGAACTAGGTGTCCAATCCTCACCAATAATGGACATGATGTTAATTTAAGGCATAATATTGCACGCCATTAATCAAAACAGATCTGTCTCTAGACAGCTTTACTTTCAGCTAAGAATCTGTCACCCAAATTCCGGCCAAACATGAAAGCAGCATAAAGCCTATGCAAGCCTAAGCATATCAGTTCCTGTTATATTGTATCCAACCCAGGCTTGTATAATATAATGGGATCCCTAATATAATATTTCTTGATCAGTTGACCAACACCACATGGAAGACTAATGTTACCAACACGTAAATATAATAGCCACATTCTTTAATTACAGAATCAGATTGCGGTTATATACTAGATTTCCAGTTTCAGATTGAAAATGCACAAGTTACAGATTGCAATTTCTATACTCCGTAGTGGAACCATAAGATACCAAGTGGATTCACAAACATGTATGCTAGGACCTGAGACAACATTTGGTTGATATAACCCTTTATTCAGTACATCAAAATCCTGAACATTTTTACCAAACTATTTGTCCAATCCTCACTTGTAATGTCCAAACTCCGGCCAAACATGAAAGCAGCATAAAGCCTATGCATAATATAGCATGGCATTAATCAAGGCAGATCTGTCCCTGGACAGCTTACTTTCAGCCGTCCAAACTCCGACCAAGCAAGAAAGGAACATAGATCTGATGCAAGCCTAAGCAATATCAGCTCCTATTGTAGTCAACCCAGGCCACTACAATATAATATTTCTTGACCAGTTGACTAACACCACATGAAGGACTAATGCTACAGACACATATAAATATAATAACAGGATTCTTCAACTACAGAATCAGACTGCAGTTTTGTATTGGATTTCTAGTTTGAGATAGAAAATGCACATGTTACAGACTGCAATTTCTATACTCCGTAGTGGAACTATAAGATACCAAGTGGATTCACAAACATGTATGCTAGGACCTGAGACAACATTTGGTTGATATAACCGTTTATTCAGTACATCAAAATCCTGATCATTTTTACCAAACTAATTGCCCAATCCTCACTTGTAAATTGTAATGGACATGATGTTAATCTAAGTCATAACATAGCATGCCATTTAGCAAAGCAGATCTGTCCCTGGACAGCTTACTTTCAGCTAAGAATCTGCCATCCAAACTCCCACCAAGCAAGAAAGGAACATAGATCTGATGCAAGCCTAAGCAATATCAGCTCCTATTGTAGTCAACCCAGGCCACTACAATATAACATTTCTTGACCAGTTGACCAACACCACATGAAGGACTAATGCTACAGACACATATAAATATAATAACAGGATTCTTCAACTATCGAAAAAAAGGATCAGACTGCAGTTTTGTATTGGATTTCTAGTTTGAGACAGAAAATGCACATGTTACAGACTGCGATTTCTGTACCACATATCGGAACTATAAGCTACCAAGGGGATGCACAAACATGCATGCTAGGACTTGAGACTACATTTAGTTTGCGCATTGTTCATGGCCTATTCTAAAGTATACAGTGGAATTATAGATCTATGAGAACGAAAACAGCATCTAAAATGGCACCTTCATCTCCAAAGCTACCCCCCTTCACAACCTAAGCAGCAAATTCCTGCTTGTAGTCCATAACGTGTGATTTACATACTCCTAGAATGGACTGCAAATTACCGGTAGGATCCGAAATGCTAAACGCACAATCTTGAGAGAGGATAGAACCTAATAGCAGATACATTGCATATTGTAAAATACAGATTGGTATAACAACACTTTTCTGTACTTGACAACAGGCGAAAGCATCGGAAATGACTAGTGGTTGCTAACTAGCAGTTGCTCGGCCCCTTCAGCAACTAAGCAGCAGCCACCACTATCCCAATGCTAACTAGTAGGATAGGAGTAGTTGGTAGCTAGCACCATGCCATGAGCAAATCAAGAACTAGTAGCAGAGGCATCTGGTGCTGTGGGAGTAAGAACATGAATCGAAGAAAGAAGGCATGCTGACCGATGAGGGATGCCTCGAGGAGGTGCGTCCGCCAGAGCACCTGGTCCATGGGGCTGACGTTGCCGATCTTGTGGCCCCTGTCCTGGATCCTGACGATGGCGGCGACGCTGGACATGAGGATGACGGAGAGCGTGCAGGCGAGCGTCTTGACGGTGGCGGGGCCCTTGCCGGTCTTGACCTGCTCCACGCCCCGCATCGCCAGCTCCCGCAGCGGCCCGATCTTGACCATGAGCAGCAGCGCCACCGCCCCCTCCGCGAACAGCACCAGGAACAGCAGCGGGATCATGGCGGCGGCCGCTCGCAGATTAACCGGATGTCGGGTCTCCTTGGATTCCGCCCGGGAAGTTAAGGGCGGGGCTTTTCAGCGGAACAACAACCGACCGGGTCTCTTCCACGGCGCGAGGATTAATTGGCGGAGGTCGCTCCGCCGCGCGAGTACGGCGGGAGGTCGTTTTCCGGCGGAGGAAAAAGATGGCGAGCGAATCCAGTCGGCGGGGAGATTCAACTTCAACTCGGAGGCGGAGCGGACAAGAACCCCTGGCTGTCCTGCGAATCGAATCAAGTCAAGAGGGTGGCGCGTCGTCGGCGAGCAAAAGGACGGAGCAGCTAAAAGGGGGAAGCAAATCAATTCATTCTTCGGGAAGGAGGAAGAAACCCCCACCTCGTCTCTGCC